TTATCTGTTTTATCTGCGATTCTAGTTGCAACAAAGTTGCAACTGTAATATCCGCCGACCATCGATCTTTCTTACTGCTCATTGCTGCTGTTGCTGCGACTGCCGTCGCTGCCGCTGCTGCACGGTGCGTCGGCACCTGTAATTATTTTAATAGTCGTTCGAACGATGACAGCGCGCACTACTGTAATTACCGTGCCGGTAGGATTGCGTTAACTTAATATATAACAAATGGGTAGCACGCGTTACCTAGAGCGATAAGTAACGGCGCCAGACGCGAAAGGGCAGGGCCGGCTGCGCGTGACTCGAGGAATGAAACGAGAGCGCTCCACCCACGCGAAAATCATTCGATACCGAGACGAAACGATATCGTTTCGTCATATTATCGATTTCGGCAATTTATTGGTCGTCAGTGTAATGAGAGAGAGAGAGAGAGAGAGAGAGAGAGATTTTGCGCGCAAATGAATTGACGGAATCATTCGTGAGAAATGAGAGCGTGTTTAAAGCGGTCGAAGTGAATATCCGTTTTATCCAACTTCGCGGTAAGCAGCTAACCCTGGAAGAAAGGTCACACCCGTTACATTTTACCGCATGTAAATGCAGACCCGTTCTTTGACATTCTCAGGACATCTGTGAGTGCGAGATATCTCGTGGAAATCTTGCGCTATATTTTATAAAATATATATCTCATAAGATCAAATCTCATATAGTTCAAGGATTACATTAAACGTTTAAAATATGTGCGTTATCGACGATCAGAAGTTGCAGAAGTAGTATAAGATTTGCGCGTTGCATTATATGTATGTAAATTTGTAACTCATTACGCTCCGCGATTGTGCTACGTGTATGTGTGTGTGTGTGTGCTCGTGTCGAAAGTTCGAGACTGTATTCGTATATCGCGAGACCGATGGTGTTCCTTCATCCTTCATCTTTCACCTTTTGATTTTCCGCGCGAGGCACTCTGTTGTCAAATCGTTGGGTACTCTGACAACCCTGAGTCACGACAGCACCTGATTTCAGATGTGAAAGGATATCGTAGCCAATGCCGAGTATACATAATCTCTAACCTCTCACAGATTTCTCGCGGATTTACGCTCCGAAAATGCCATCTGAAAGGAGGATTCGCTCCTCGTGCACTGTTATAAGCGCGAGTGAGAGTGTATAACGTAATGTTAAATAGAATGAAACGGTTTAACTCAAAATTTTCTGACGAGTACTTGATTTTCAAGCTAGTGCATACTTGACAATGAAATTGATTAGCTTATACTTGACAATAGAACGACTTAATACATATTTGAACCATTTTTCTTAATTTTAAATGGAAAGTTTGATCATTTTTATCGAAGATGACTATATATATATATATATATATATATATATATACCCTCGATAACAATTATCAAACTTCCCGTAGAAATTTAAAAAACAATTGTTTAAGTATATGTTGGCCCGAGTTTTATGCTTGATAAATGCTGTAAGTTTCCAAATAATAATCCTAACTCACATATATATACATATACATATATATACTCTGTGTGTAAAATAAATAGCTTACCTTTTAGCAAAATGAGTAAACAGCTGATTTCGAGGACAAAGCCTGTCCTACCACTTCTTATGCGCTCATTCGTTTATACATTTTAATTAATTACGTAATAAATATTGAAAAAATTTTAAAATGGTTATATATATATATATATATATATATATATATAACTGATCGAGCAACCGCCGTGTATGGGTAGAACGGGTCAAAATAATCATAAAAGTTACATACCATTTTGAAACTTTTTCAATATTTATTACGTAATTAATTAAAATGTATAAACGAATGAGCGCACGAGAAACGGTAGGACAGGCTCTGTCCTCGAAATCAGCTGTTTACTCATCGTTGCTAAAAGGTAAGCTATTTATTTTACACACAGAGTATATATATGTATATATATATATATACAGGGTGACCCATTTTAACTTAGGCAGCCAAATAACTCGAAAAATAAGCACACTACGAAAAAATGTTTAGAATCAAAATTTCGTCA